TTACCCTTACTAAAACAGTCAGTAAAATCATGAACATCAAGTTGTGGAATCCATGCCTCATTATCTAATAATATGCAATACATAACTTAACTTTTTCAAAGTGGTCTATCCGTTCCTAGTAAACAGTTAACAGTTAATTCATTGCACATAAACATCATGATGAAATTGCACAACATAACTTCACTAGTTAATAGGCTTTTCCAATTCATAAGTTTTATCCAAAACTCTAAGACAAGACTTCAAACACAAAAAAATGACTTATTACCCAAAATCTATGACAAGACTTTAAACGCATTCCTTATGCCCCCTCCCAAAAAAAAAAAAAGAACGTAGACAAAATGCCATAGTTTAGTTCAAGAAAAATACACTAATATGCTATTAACATGCAATGGGGGTGTCATACAACTCAATATAAGCAAAGCAAAAGTCAAATAGATTGAAGTAAAACAAAAAGTTGGTAATCTAAAAGTAAAACAGGTTATTAACAAAGCATTTAGCTATTGAATCATACAAATCATGCAAAGAGGAGGCTAAGGCACAATTTAGACTCAAACTGGATAATTATTAAAATAAGCACCACTAATCTAAAAGTAAAATAGGTTATAATTATGATATGTTAGTTATAAATAGGTAATACGTATGATTAACACATTAATTGCTTTAATGATGCTTACAACATTTTCTTCTTTTGTTTTCTTTTTCTTGATTATTTACCAAAAAAAATGCTCAACATTTATTCAAACATGTTTCACAAATAGTGTCAAGGGTTCAGATACTGGAATTATGAATATAGAAAACTGATTTTAGAAGGTTGCTCCTATAATGGACTTGTGCAACACCCAAATGTAGATTAGTTGATTAGTGAGATAGATATCGGGTAGAAGACTGAAAAAAAAAACATATCTTATTAAAAAAAAGGGATATTTTTCTTAGCAATCTAAACCAAAATTTACAACAGGTATTATATATAGATATATAAAAACTAGACCAAATACTTGGTTTTATCTCAAACCACAGATATGTCTATATTGACTCACATGTTAAGCTTATAAGTCCATGGTTCAATCTTAAATCATGTAGGTTATTTCATTCCTTAAACAGCTTCAAATTTTCTTCTATAAACTGCTCCATGATGTCAGGAACAATGAAGCATAAAATGATGAACAATAGGGGTAAAATAAAAAAAAATAAAAAACTAAAAAAATCACCATTGTCATATACGTCACATAATTAAACAAAAGACCTTCATAATAGGCATAGAAAATCATAGATACTTTAACATAAAAGAAATTCAAGTTCCAAAACAACATAACAAAGTCCTGCTCTATATATCACTAGTTACAAACCATTATCTCATACTGAAAAGCCATAACCTAGAAAAATCCATGGTATAAATTAGAACATGATAATTTTTTACATTGACAAATAGACATTGAATAATACTTGCTATTGAGTTCCCTTGCTCTATTGTTGGTGTGTGTTGCCACAAATTCTGGATCCAATAATTTCACCCACCCTACCTTCGAATGAATAGAGGAAGTGAGCGAGAAGAAAAACAGAGGGAGTGAGCAAGAGGGAGAACAAAGAGATGGAGATGTTTACTTGCCTTCAGTGATGAACACAAGGCCACTTGCCTTCGCTGAAGATCGATGGAGAAGACGATGTGGGTGAAGCAAAACTAATGCAGGAGAACAGAGGGAGTTTGGGTTAATAAGACTGGAGGAGTGAACAAGAGAGAGAACAGAAGGAGTGAGCGAGAGGGAGATCACAAGGAGAATAGAGAGATAGAGATTTTTACTTGCCTTTGTTGAGGAGCGCAGGGCCACTTGCCTTCGCTGAGAAGATCGATGGAGAAGAAGGTGTTGGTGAAGCAAAAGTTATGACAGAGAATAGAAAGAGTTAGGATTAAGGGTAGTGTATATAAATTTATAAAATTATCAGAAGTATTTTGGTCTTCAAACGTATAGCCTTCGTGTCCCTAGAGTTGGGACACTAGTGTCTCTCCTTCTAGGAGGTACACTGGTGTCCTTCAAATTTGTGCCCTGCGTGTCCTTCCGTGTCTCTATCTCTCCAGAAAGAAACTAGCCAAACATGATACACGTGCCTCCGTGTCTCTGTCCCATTGTCTCTGTCTCTGAACCATACACTACCTTAAGAAGAGAGAAAATAAAGAAATAGAATGGAGTTTGGAGAACTAAGCTCTGAGAAACTTACTTGAAATCGAAAGGAATAAGTGTTCAAGCTTAGATCTGAAAGAGATTCAAAATTTGGACAAGTTTTCTTTAGGATTGTAAGGTGAGAGAACAAACAAAAACGAGAGGGAAAGTATTTGGTTTTAAAAATGAAGTTTCTAGGACATAAGTTCTTTAAATACCCTTCAAACTCGCAACTTTCTCGCTACAACGACCATCTCTCGCTACAGTGAAAAAAATCAGACAATATTTTTCCTTTTTTTGTCTATCATTCTAACTATAGCGAGAGATCCTCACTATAGCAAGAAAGCACTAAAGGACCTAGTCCAGAATACTCTTTCTTGCTACAACGAGACCTTTATCGCTAGAGTGAGAAATCCTGCACCAAAATTTCAAAATTTCCAAAATTAAGGCAATTAAAATGAGGGTGTTACAATGTGCATGTTTTTTATGCTTATATTATTAATTGATCTATGTCTCATCACTTATAACATTTACTTAAGGCAACAAGTGTATAAATTATTCTTTTGCTTTCACTATGGTTCTCTGTAATTGTTAACTGCACAAATGCATTTTTCTTTGTATTGTTCTTTTACTTTGGGCTATTCATATATATGTTCCCAAATTGATTAGATTTTTTATTGATAAATGTGTATTTTGCAATTGTTTTCATATTTTGGTATATCAGAGGCTTTGTTTTACATTTTTATTTTGTTTGCATTGTTTTATAAGTAGCAATTGTTTATTAGGTGTGCTAAAATTTAAAATATTGTCAACTTTATTAAAAAATGTCAAAATTTTCATAAGCATAAGAGAGCGGTTAACCAAAGACCACTCTCTAAGGTAGACTTTAGAGAACAATTTTTAAAAAATTGTTCTCAGAAATATACTTAAGAGAGCAGTTCACAAATAACTACTCTCAAAAGTGAACGTTTTAGAGTGATTGAAATAGAACTGCTCTCATAAGTGTTAGATTAGAGAGTGGTCAACTTTTTAGAGTGGTTGAAGTAGAACTGCTCTCATAAGTATTAGATTAGAAAGTGATTAAGTAAGAACCACTCTCCGTGCTAAACCTTTGGAGAGTGGTTCTACGTGGAACTACTTTTTTATAGTAGCTTTAGAGAGCGATTTCACGTGAAATTGTTCTTCAAAGTGATATGTTTAAAGAGCAATTAAGCAGGTAACTGCTTTCTAAAAGCTACTTTTAAGAGCAGTTAAGTACGGAATCATTATCTAAAATCAACATCTAAGAGCGGCTATTTAACCGCTTTATTAAATGCAAGATATTGGATAGTGCGATATTTTAGAGTACTAATAACTGCTCTTTAAGTTTAGGCAAAACCACTCTCATTTTTTGGCATAGTAAATTTTTGTTAGCTCTTTATTTTGAAATGACTAAATTATAAGAGTTAAGAGTGGATACTTTCTAATGGTGGTCTTTACTTATCAAAGTAAATGTTCTTCTATAGTCAATTATTAAGAGTGAGAAAAAAAGAATGACTGAAAATATTAATTATAAATAAAGATGATAATCTACATTTGTTTAATCAAATGTAATATTCAAATTTTTTTAAAAAATATATAAAAAATGTTTAAATATAAATTTTCATAACAAATTATTTACTATACAAATATAAATTTTCTGTCGACATCAACTAGTATTCACGAATTATTTTGTCAAATTGCATTTTGAAACTATTTATAATATTAAAAAATATAGTTCCTTTTAACTATCATCTACATTATCTTTATTTAAAAAAAAAAAAAAAACTTCGCATAGCATATGACTCAGATTAAAATTGGGAAATCCTACTCATTTGACTTATGATTTAAATAGTAAGAAATTCATAGATGTATATTATTTATGCAAATTATTTTTTTATAATAAAATATAAAGGTTGTCATGGCTAATCATAATAATTTTGTTTTATTTAATTATCGCTAACTTTTTTTTTTACTTTCATTTCAATTGTATTGCAAAATGAAAAAATTACATCTAAAAATAATGGAAATATTTAACAAATATTGATGTAAATTACATCTAAAGGCATGTTTATTTATTTTATATATTTATTAAAAATATAGTTCAAAAGTTCATGCTACAAGAACATTTATATTTGTATCCAGTATTACATAGGGATCTAATAAAAACAATTGTAAACATTGATTGTAAACAAAAAGATCAATTATTGATTTACATTAATTCATGTTTAATATTAAAATTTAATTTAACTTTCAACTCTACTTAATTTTAGTCATGTCAAATAAACTTTTTAAAAATAATATGTTAGCTTTAAACTTAAATAACTTGAATTTGTCTTGCATTTTGTTATAGGCAGTATATTTGAAATTATAGATTTTCCTTAAAAAATTCATCATGTGATGCACGGGCTGCAAACATTTTTTAAGCCTAGATTTAAGAAGAGGAGTTTTATAATAAAGACAAAACAAGTTACATTTGTAACATAAGTCTAAAAGATTAATAAAGAATTTGTTAACTCACTTGTAGATAGCTACGGCAACATTAATAATTAATAGACATATTCTAACATTGCCACAAAGGGATTGATTTAATTGCATAAATTAAATTATTGATAATTGTTATATTATCTAAAAAAGATTTCTGATTAATAATAAAGATATATGTGAAAAAAATTGTAAATAGAAATGAAAAAAAAGAGTTACAAAAAGCAACCCTTGTTGGGCTGTCTATAGTTGGGTCCAGTTTTTTTGTCAGTTGAGACAAAAAATTTCAAAGAAAGAAAGAGAGAGAAGGTTAAAGAGAAACACGTTGAACATGCCAGTCCCACTTTCCAACCAAGTGAAACCAACAAACTGTACGGAAGGGAGAGTGTGTGGCGGGACAGGTTATGGCTCCTACCATCTCTTCCTCAATCGTGTCTCATGCTCACCGTTTTCCGTCCTCAAATCCTAACCCTAATTCCTTTCTTCTCCGTAGTCGCACCCAATTTATCGCCTTCGCTTCCAATTCTTCTCCTCCCGAAGGTGCCAACGGCAATGTCCAACACGACGCCACCGAGAAGAAATCGTTTGCCGTGGCCACTGGCGAGCTCTTCTTGGGCCTAGCAGCGCGCCTTATTAAGAGCCGCAGCAAGCTCACCGATTCGGCTTCGGTGGCCATGTTTGAGAATTCAAATTCAGGGAAATTGTATGAGGATCGAATTGGTGCTGTTGTGGAGGATGAGATCGATCCCGACGTCGTTTGGGAGCAAAGGGTCAAAGACGTTGAAGCGGAGCGTAGTAGACGAATCGTCACCAACCCTGGCTTTAGCTTCTCTGCTGCTGGTCTTCTCTTCCCTTACCATCTCGGTGTTGCTCAGTTTCTCATTCAAAATGGTTACATTAAGGTCCATAATTTGTATCTATGTAAATTTTTTTAATTGGATTTATGTTGATATTGAAATGTTATTGTTCTTGTGATATAAGATAAGCATCATCTAGAATATTTGTTCCTGGGTGTGTGATATAGGTGTTGTTTCGTTGTTGGCATACTATGCTTGTGCTTCAAGTTATTTAGTTGGAAAGAGATTCTTGAGTTTATAATGAGGGTTTTGAGATGCATTTGCAGGAAACCACACCGTTAGCTGGTTCCTCTGCTGGAGCTATAGTTTGTGCTGTGATTGCTTCAGGAGCTAGTATGGAAGAAGCCTTGAATGCCACTAAAATGTTGGCTGAAGATTGTCGGAATCGCGGGACTGCATTTCGGCTGGGGGTATGCCTCTATTCTCAGAGTACTTTATATAGTTGGTCTCTGTCTTAGATACAGATGCTTGTTTACTCTTTCTCTCTTTTTGTAACATTATATAGATTATTGATGATTTTGCAAAGAACATTACATGGAGTAGTCTTGTGGGCTAGAATGCTGAAAATTACAATCCCCCAAAACTACTTGAATTATTTTTTATCACGCCTCTAACAAGAACCATGGAGGCAAATCAGTGACCTATGAAATAAGGCCAATGTGAATTTGGAGACCAAGGAAATCCTGATAGTTAGTAGGATTTGGCTGGTACTAGATTATGGAATACATGATAACCTCAATTAGGTCTATGCCATGTTCTTTGGACAATTGGAACTTTGGAATGAAAAACTTGAAAATTTATAAAGTATTAGTTAGAAGATGGCAAAAGAAAAGGATAATTCTGCATGTTTACAGGATATATTTGTTTTCGGGATTATAACTGTTGATGTTTTTTTGTTAATTAGCAAGCAGTTTTTGAAATCAAAATGAGAGCCTGTGAGAAGTGCAGTGTTGTGTGAAAATGTAACTAAATCATTATCCTTGATGGAAAGCGGAGATTTTCTTTTGTTGTAATATTATGCTTACGGGAACTTTTCAGATTTCAGATCTCACCTCTTCTGGTTCAATGTATTCTCTGAACAGGCTGTTCTACGTGATATTCTTGACAAGTTTTTGCCAGATGATGTTCATATAAGATCCAATGGGAGAGTTCGAGGTAATGCTGGATGTTCAGCACCCTTGCTATTTTTTATTATTGAACTGTCTTGTGCAAAGAACCAAACTGGAAATTCTTCTGTTATTTTATAGGACTAAAGTAACAAACACTAATATAGAAAAACAATAGTGTCTATACAGCTATCTACTAAAGTTTATATTTATTATTTGAATTATTAAATACATTTATAACATCATAGTTTATTACTGAAAAAAGAATAAAATAAGGATTCTTTTTTTGAACTTTTGCGCATAAAAGCAAATATGACAAATGGCCTAAAAGTTCTTTTTATTATTAGTAGAGTTTTTCTTAAAGTCTTGCTGTGCCTTAAAATGTATGTTCTGTTGCAGTTGCTGTGACACAGCTTCTTTGGAGACCCAGGGGTTTGTTGGTGGATCAATTTGATTCCAAGGAAGATCTCATCAATGCAGTTTTTACTTCTTCTTTTATCCCAGGGTGATTTGTTAGTATACTATATTTCTTTGGTTGCATGTAATGTTTTTTACTCATTATAAATGTTTAAGCAAATTTGGAACTTATTTATACTCGCTCCAGATATCTTGCACCAAGGCCAGCAACAATGTTTCGAAATCGACTGTGCATTGATGGGGGTTTAACATTATTTATGCCACCGACATCTGCAACACAAACGGTATTTTCATTAATTCATTTACTGGGTCCATTGGTTTAATTGATTGAGTATTTGCTGAAACCTCTGTTTAAGTGCATTTTGAAGCCTTATAAAACAAATTCTTTTTGTACTTTCTATTAATTTACTTCTATGTGATACTATTATTTAAGAGGGAATTCTTTCCTCAGAAGAAAAATTTCCCGGAACATCTATACAGGCCAAGTTCAAAAATTAATCATTCTGGCTAGCAAGGAAATGAAGATTGCATGCACTATTCGCTTCGCTTATTGTGTGATGTGGTGTTGTTTTGTATGGAGGGTTTTGCTTTATACGAAGATTGGGATGGTTATTGAGTAATTTTCCATACAATATTTAGATAACTACCAATGATTGATTAAAAAATAAACTTTAGGGTCGGAAATGTTATTTTAGGCTATTCATTTTTTAAGCTACTAAAATTAATCTCTGGCAATTTCCTCTGTTATCTGAGCTTAAAAAACTGAAACCCCGAGGTTTATATTCAAAGGAAAACTTGAGCTGATAAGATAAATTGATTGCAAAGAAAATATTTCTGATTTCCTCAAATCATCTGTGAAGATATAATATATTCTTTTTGGGGGGTGGGGGACAAAAGTATCAACAAGGAAAGAAAACTAGAGTCTTGTGGCTATACTAACTATATGTGTCTGAAATGATTGAAAATATTATGCATTCTGATTGTTATGTTTCAATTCATATGTGACTAGACAAATCTATGATTTATCAAGTTTATATATTGCAACGTTTCAACTTCAATAAGCATTTACCACTTTACAGGTTCGTGTTTGTGCTTTCCCAGCTAGTCGATTGGGATTGCTAGGGATTGGAATTAGTCCAGACTGTAATCCTGAAAACATGTCCAGTCCGCGGCAGGTAACCCTACATTCCCTGAATTAGCTTAATAATTTTCTTAAGGGTAAGTTGATGAACGTTCTGCATGGAAACATTTCAGCTTTTCAACTGGGCACTTGAGCCAGCAGAAGATGCAATTCTTGACCGACTTTTTGAACTTGGATATCTAGATGCTGCTGTTTGGGCAAAGGAAAACCCAGTTGAAGTAATAGTTCAAGATGCCAGTCCTGCGTTTGGAAATAGCAATGCAAAATAACTCATCATATAGATTGAAGAAGCATGAGGAAACTACAAATCATTGAACTGTTACCTTGAACTGGAGCCCTAAATTGGCAAAAGTTCTTGGGGAGAGGTTCATGACTACCTAGGGTATAAATCTGGTTCATTCATATTTATTGTATATTGCAATAGAATTACAAAGGATAGAAAAAAGAAAAAAGTTTTTAAAAGTAGAGGCAATATATTTAAAATTTACAAGTTAGAAGGTTCTTGTTTAAAATTCGTTATTCTTTATAATTTGTGAATTTTAAATAGACTTTACAGCTACTTATCCTATGCATGACAAAGTTGTGTCACTTTAGTTTCTTGAAAGTGATGTCTTATGATATTTAGAAACCAAGGTTTTTTTTTATTATCAAAAAGAAACTAAGGGTTTGACTTATTTGTTAAAATTAAAGTTAAAACTCTAGAATACTATATATTAAGGCACAGAAGCACACGTTGGATTGAAACTTCACGATATCAAAACTTCATAAGAATATGGTTAGAACCATTTTTCTTTTGGATTTTACAGGCCACGAGGCGAGAGTTGCTCCTTTTGAAGAGAAAAGAAATTTATTTTTCTTATTCAAAATAATGGTCAAGCTTCAATTATATTTTTTTTCCCACTTTGTATAGATAAAAATACTCAGTAATCGGACTTGATAATAGTTTAAAATATGGAATCTATCCTTAAAAAATCTAAATTAACTAATAAACATACTTCTAAATATTTTACCAAACTGAATGTATAACCAAGCACTAAAGTAATTTTAAATCTTAACAGACCGAACATCCATAATTAATTAATATAAAAAGATTAAAAATGAAAGAATGAGACTAAATTTTTATTGTTCAATCAAGAAAGAATCAAAATTTACAAACACTTTCGGAACTCAACTCTTAGAGATTGAATTACTAATCCAAGAATACAAGTCATCCTTCTCTCTTATTTTTTCCATTATTCACTCTCTTTTATACTTTCTAATTTACAAAGATTTAAACTAATTTTTTAACCACTTGACAATCTGACCTTTTACCGTTGGTACCATATTTTGGACTTAATTGAACCTTTATCTAGCAACTATCTTCTATACTTTCTACTCTAAAAATACTTCTTCTTGAGATAGCGCCTTGTCCCCAAGGCTAAGTGTGGGAAATTGACTTCTAAGCATGAATTCCTCTTTCCAGGTTGCTTCAACGGCGGATAATCATTTTCACTATACAAGGAGTTGTCTATGCATCTGGCCTCTTGCAGTGATAATACAACTAGCTAAAATGATCTTCAGTTTAGCTACTTCCTTGATTGCCAAGTCAACAGGCATATTGGTTTTTGTAGAATATTATCTAATTGTGTTATTTAATTGGAAAACATAAGATAAACTTTTGATGTGGGAGGTGAGATGTCCCTATTTACAATAGATATTTCTTAATTATCATTCCAATCTCATGGTGAGTAAGGGATAAATTAAAACATTTTTATATATATTACAAAACCATGACATGAAGTCATCATATCCAAAATGCATAAGAAATTATTACAAACCTCTTAACTATTTTTCAAATTTATTTAAATATTAGACGTTACAGGGAAAAGAAAGCAATTAGGGGAAACATAAAACACATAGCAGGTAATAAGTTAGACTACTCATCTTTACTTGATTCCTTCCTCAATCCATCTGGAGGAGAGTCATCATCAAGTCCTAGCAGCTGCAAAGCAAAATGGAAAAGATAAATCCACTCTTTCTTCTCCTTGTATAACCATTGGTTTAACATGGGAGTTATTAATAATAGTTATAGTTAAAATAATAAAACCTTGAAATATGATAGTTTGGTTGGAGTCATTAGAATTCTATTCTTCCACTCTCAAACTAAAGGTCAAGGTATGCACAGAGGTTTTGGTATATTTCCACTCACTCTGCGTTCATATACATTGGACATATCAGAGAATAAGAAATAGACGAGTACAAACATTCATAAACAATCATGTAAAGTAATACTTATGCTTAAATGAAACAATTTTGGTATGTTCTAGTGTCTGTCAAGATAGGCTAGCAAAGTTTCTACTACTTACAACATAAGGTAGCCATGATTGGTCCCCTGTAAGTTTTAAGCACTTTTCTATCTCTTATGGTTAGACCAAAACTATTTGTTTCTCACCTGTATCATGACATATTCAACCTCTTTTACATTAACAGATCACAATCACAACAAAATCACAACCATCATTTGTCCAACGAGTACATCATCACATCACTATATCAAGAGAACAAACAATCACATGGACATGACCAAAATCAAAAAAATTTTAGATTTCATACACCAACTTGTCAAATTCATAACTAAATCAATACAAGTCCAAAAATTATGAAATTACCAAGATTTTCTTTCTTTGAGTGTCTAATATAATATAAAATTAGAAGAAAAATTCAAACACTTCCAAAAAATTAATTAAATATTAGTTTGTCTCTATTGTTCTCAGATCATCTTACTTAACATCTAGCATATTGAAAAATTTATAATAAATTCATTTCTAATCCAAAATACATGAAATCAATGAGGTTATTCTCCTTAGTGTGTCTATTTTCAAAATAAAAACACTTTCAAAGTCTAGATACTTACATATATCAATTCGTGCTCTACATTCTAATTACATGTTATAGATTACCACAATTCAGAAACAACATAATGGAAAAATTATACATCATTCAATTCAATACCAAAATTCATGAAATCAGTGAAATTATTTCCTTTCAAATATCTAGTTTCACAAAAAAATACAATTGAAAATTAATCACCCAAAGATTTCAAAACAAGTCATAAATCTTTTTTATTACTCACGGCAATTTACTTCTCAGTATCAACACAATGGAAAAATCATAACTATTTTATTTTAAGGCTAAAATTCATTCAACTAGTGAGGGTATCTTCCTTATAACACCTATTTTTATGAAAAAAAATATAAATAACATAATGCTACTCTTGCCTTTTAAAAGAAAAATAATTTTCTCAGTAATATACAAAGGAACATCATCTTCATACAGCAGTCTATTAGAAAAATCATAAGTATTTTATTTTATCTCCAATGTGAGAAAAATTAATGAAAATATTTTTCTTATAATGTCCACTTTCATGCAAAAATATAAATAAAATAACTTCATATATGAATTTAAAAAAAATGATTTAAGGCACGTTGTTCTTGGAAAATCATTCACTTGTAATAGAATATTAAAAAAAACATAGTTTATTTCAAATTCAAATAAAGTAAAATGAGTATTCATATTTTCATTGAGGTGTCTATTTTTATAAAAGAAATGTGAATCAAATTAAGACATGTTGTTCTCGAAAGACTATTTTCATGCAAAAAAATATTAGAAAAATTATAAATAATTCAATTTAAATTTAAATTGAGCAAAACTAATGAAATTTTTTTCATAAATCGGCTATCTACATGAATAAAATGTTAATAAAAAATTTTGCAAAGAATTTCCTGTATTTTACAAAATTTATAATTTAGTTCTTATATTTGATATTATTTGTAAAAAGGTCCTTATTCAAAATTTGGTAAGTTTCAAATTGTCCAGCATATCTTTCATGAGTTCAAGGTCTTTAGTTCATATCTCCACATGATACAAATCATTATCTTAGTCTTGCCACACATATGGTCAAGTGTCTTACACTTTTAAGAAACTTTTGGGTCAAAATCCATGGTACTTTACCATTTTTAGGTTCAATCTTCCAAATTTATATTTAGATCTTTATCCTTATCATGTTTTTCATGTAGTCCAAGGGTCCAAATGTGTTGAAGGTTCCAAAGATCTTCCTCATGTTCATTTTTCATTTTTAGTCCATTTCTTTTTAAAAGTTTCTTATTAAAACTTCAAAATAGCTTAAAAATACATTTTAAAATCCAAAATAATTTCAATCAAAGAAAGAATCATATATCCAACTTAGTCAAAATGAAAACAAGTCACTCAATATAGATCTACATAAATATACAAAGATTTCATACAACAATCATATAGCAAGTAAGGTTATCAACAATACATCACTCTTTGAGATCTATATTGATGTTTAGTTACTTTGTCTGAACCAAGATTTTAATCATGGATCCACCAATTTCATGGATGTAAACATACCAAAAAGGGTTAAGACTCTCCTTTAACTCAAAAATCATGTGAACATAGTATCCCATTTGATTATGAATAGTATCCCCTCCCCCTTACTTGAAATTTTTGGTTTGTTGTTGAGTTGACCTTTATGGAATCCTCTTTCTCTCTTTTTACTTTCTTCCTCCCCTTGAAAGTGAACTCCTTCCTCCCTTATCCTTCTCCTTCTTCATGTGATTAAGGGTCCAAGTAGAAAGGTTGTTAACTTTCGCTACAACAACAATAATTTTTAGCGATAATTGTCATAATTTTTAGTGGCAATAAAAATAGCCATTAAAAAATTTTATCAGCAAATAATTACTTTCTGTTACATCCAATGTCAGTAAAAGTTTACTAGCCATTATAAAGAATACTGGTAAAGACTTAATTTATTGCCACCAAAAACTTCAATTTATAATGGCAAATGTTAGTGACAATTAAAATGGCCACTAAAATTGATTTCAAAATTTATTTTTTATTCATTTACTAGCCTTTATTATTGTCAACAAAATTTCAAAATAATTTTTATTAATAATTAATAATCTCTTAAATATGAATAACTTTAAGGTGTTCTTCATTTCGATTCTCTCTAAACCCATCTAAGTTTATCTTCAAACACTTCACTTGAATCCCACAAAGTTAGATCACCTAATACCCTACCATAAAAGTCTTGAATCTTGGGCACTCTCCTATCCCCTATGGTCAGACCAACACTATTTGCTCCTCGTCTGTACCGCGGCGTATTCAACCTCTTTCACAATTATAAACACAAATAATATCATAGCCATTAATTATCCAACAGGTTCATTATAACATCTCTATTTCAAGACAATAATCAATTACATGGACATGGCTAACAATCAAAATTTTCTAGATTTCATGAACTAACTTGTAAAATTCATAATTAATTCGATGCAAGTCCAAACATATGAAATTACCAAGATTTTCTTCCTTCAAATGTCTACTGTAATATAAAAGTACAGTCAAAATACAAAAGATTCAAAAGAATTAATCAAGTCTCAGTTTACCTTTACTGTTCTCAGATCATTTCACTAAACAACTGGCATATTGTAAAATTCATAATAAATTCAATTCTCATTCAAAACACATGAGACTAGTGAGATTATTTTCATTAACATATCTAT